CTTGAAAAATATTTTATAGTAAATTTATAATTACTTACTATACAGTGTAGCTTCTATTCGATTTATTTGCAGGGTCATTTCACAAAAATCGAATAAAAATATTCGGCATTTCCAAATAACATTTTCTATTTCAGATCATTTGTTTATAGTACTAGAATAGTTCATTACCACCCGAGACAGGTTTTTCCAAACGCGACAGCTTTTTCGCATGACTGTAGTTTGAAAAATTAAATTAACATAAAAAAAATAAATTCTGTCATTTTAGGACAAAACAATGATTATAAGGAAAAAACCAGAAAACGTAACAATTTAATTAGAATAAGTTAATAAATTGTATAACATTTGATTCTGTTTCAAAAGTACATGAAGTATTCACCTATAGAATACACTTTTTTTATGAAAATATGAAGTATTTAAAGAAATTCACAATTAATGACTCACAATGCAAAACCCACCAAAACAAAAGAAAGCAAGTGCCCATTCGAGGGCGAATGATGCAGCATATCTATACCTCCATTTCTGCCAAATCCTGGCTGTAAAGCAACTTGAGTGGATCATTGAATTTGCACCACAAAAAAGAGTTCCTATAAAAGGCAAGACATCAAAGAAAACACGTCAAAACACTCTCTCGTTGCCATTATTAAGAGTGACCAAAATCACGGACCCACAAGGCATAATAATTTACGAAGAGAAATCAAATCCCTCGGTTTCTTCAAGTCAAGTAATGGAAACACTAAGTGATACCAAAAAATTATACTTCAAGGAAATGGTACCTTATTTTGAACATCTATTTAAAGATAATCTGGCCTTTACATTTGATAAAGTGGTGTCTAAAAGGGTACCAAATGATCCAAATAAATTGAATAAAATAAGACCGAAATCTGTGACTGTTGTTGAAAATGGTACGAGTTGTAATTATAATAAAAGAGACATGGATAGAATAGGTGGAACACTGTTCACAAAGCTATTCTCGATATTTTATGGGAATACCTCAACAAAACCAGACCAAAATTTAAGGGTTGTTTTCTTTAACGATATGGGTTCTGATGATTATGTGCCTGCTAAAGGCGAGTTTATCATTCGTCTTCCCCTTTCAGAAATAGACGGAAACTTCGAAGACACTGGAACACAAACCGTCATTTCGTCTCAGACCATCAACCCACCTTCTGTGTCTGTAACTTCTTCTCAACTACAAACTACTTCGCTACAACACGAAAACTCGTTTTCACTAGTCACACCGCCTTTTCGACCACCAGAAGTAGTAAGACCTGTAACTACTCCGCCTCTTCAAGAATGCCCAATCGATGATTCGTACCAATACTTTATCGATTGTTCATTCCAAACTCAGTTCAGAGTTTGGTGTTATCCATTCGACAGTGGTCCAGTTATCGAAGTATGTTTAGACAAAGGTGTATATTATATGGATTATAATAATAACCTTCGTTCTATTGTAGGAAACAACTTGGTTTTGATTTTTAATGGGTGTGTCTATACGTACAACGACAATACCCATACCTTATCATTTTATTTAAAAATGATATAACATGTGTATGAACCATACACATGATGGTTTTAATTTATTTTTTAATTATTTGCTAGAAAGTATAGTTAATTTATTTAACTATACTATAACGATTTTAAAAATACTTTTAAATGTAGTTCCTCTTAACTAAATTGTATTATCCATAAGAGTAGTTTGAATTATTGGTTGATTTTACTATAATTCAATAATATAAATACTATTAATAGATCACTTTACTCAATAGAGCCCACATCAAACAAAAATGGTTCTTTGCCCGTGTTGATCTTCACACTTTCAGCGTACTCAACACAAACTGCTGGAAGAACAAGACCAGACACAAAATTCATCAACCCCAAAAACTTCCCGTTTCTTGTGAAGAATATCTTTTGAGTCTTGTATGTAAACCCACACCCCATTGTGTCTCCATCTGTAAAGGGAGTTGTCAGTTTGTTTCCACTTCCGTTCATATAAAATATTCTTCCGTCATCACTATGCATTCCTATGCATCCCTCTTCCCATCCAATATGTGATGTACTTGTTATAACTTTGTTGGATACTCCCATAGAAACGGTAATTGGGTTCTTTTCATCTTTTCCAATTAAAGTCACTTCAAAATACCAATTCAATGTGTTAAAGAATATTGCCTTTCCTTCTTTGTGTTTGATCATTATATGCTCTTTCATTCTCCAGAAGTCGCTGGATTGTATGACTTCTCTCATTCCAATATTCACTTTTGTGAAAAAGAGTCCGTCGCTAACAAATGTATTTCCTTGCATTTGATATTTTCTTTCAATTTTGTTGAGATTGTATACAACTGATGTCCAACTCTTCCCAGTCAAGTTGACAACTTCTTCTCCTGGTGCCCACTTTTCTGTTGCGATTTCTTTTGCTGAACTTTCATCCAAAGATATTCCAATTTCCTTTTTATCGTCTTCACTCTTATTCAAAGAAGACTTTGTCTCTAATAAAACAATTCTGTCTTCAAATACTTTCAGCTTTTCCTTAAGTTCTTTGATTTCCAAATCCTTTTTGGTCATTTCACTTCCAAATTCCATTATGAGCAATTGGAGTTGTTTCGACATTTCTGTAATCAAGTCACTCTCACTCTTTCCCATTTATTTTGTTTTCTCAGTTTTGCTTCGGCTTTTTCAACTTCGGCTCCTTATAAGAGTCAAGGAAAAAAGGTTTGTTCATTCTTTTTTTCCTCAATAAAATTTGATTCTTTCCAAATTTATACTTCAGAAAACTATTAAAATACCAATAAGAAATTATACAATTTTTCTATATTTAGAATAATTGATTATAATATATTTGTAATTATACTATAGTATTTGTTAACCTACCAATCAAATCCATTCGTTTACAAATGCTCTTGAGAACGATGTGTTGTCGAACACAACACCACACCACTCTCCCTGTTTAAACGTCACGTTGACAGTCTTCACCTTGTTTCTCTCGAACTCGTCTTGTTTACGTTTGTCGTACGATTCTCTCAACTTCTTTGCCATTCTTTGTGCAGTCTCTTTGAGTGTAAAGTCGGTCACCGTCCTAAGTGAGTTCTCAGAGAACTTTTCAAGCGCCTCTGCTAATTGTATTTCTTTGTTATAAAGAACACCAATCCCTCTACCAATGATTTTGTCGATGAGCTGCAAAATTTCGACTCGAATAGAAGCCCACGAATGCACCAACCCCAATTCAAGTTGCGTGAACAACAAGTCACTGTACTTTCTCACCAATTTTGTCGTCTTCGAAGAAAACCCTTCGACGTACCCTAATACAAATTTGTCGGCTGCGTCACGGACAACTGGAGACAAGTCCGTCACAAACGGAAAACAGAGTCCGATCATTCGTGTAACCAATATCGCAGGGACGGACTCTTGTTGTCGAATGTATTTTGTTAAAGTTTTTAAGCAATTCGATCGCGATTTTTCAGAAGGTAAAACAACACCACGAAGCGCCTCAGATATTTCTGTGGTTATGTCAGCGATCGCTTGATCCCGCATTTTGAGGACTTTTGATTTCACCATAGGAGAGTTGGGTTTGTACTCTGGGCGGCCAATTGTACTTTTCTTCTTCGCAAAATCCTTCCGTGAAGATGAGGGCTTTCCTCTCTTCGGCATTGTTATAGTATTTCACAGTTTAATATTCATATTTTTTTATTAAATCATCTTACTCAATTAACCTCACTTTGAGGAAATTATTTATTTAAGATATTTTATTCAAAAAACATTTAAATTAAGTCTTTTTTAAGTGTTTTTTTCTTAATAAAAACTACTTAAAAAACCTTTAAATTATAATAAGCAAAAATTATTATTATTATTAATTAAAACTTTAATAGTTTTAATTAATAAATGAAAAGTGTTAATCAAAATTACTAATGAACTTAAAAGAACTGGAAAAAACAAAATGGACGTCATAGACTCGGATAATGTTTTCAAATCAGTGATATACACTGACGTCGTTTCCAACGTACGGATGTTATCCCGTGAAAATTTTGTGTATGTGGGCAGTTACAATGGTGGTCCTATTGCGTGTTATCCTGATCCAAACAAACTTACGAGCGGTGGAAGACAGAAGATTGGGGTGACTATAAGTGATGGGAAAGGTGCTGTGTTGAATGAAATTGAACTTGAGCAATTAGACAGTGGCGATAACATCTATCATGTTGGGTGGTTAGATGATTACCGTTTGATAATAGTGACGCGTAAGAGGTACATCTACATGTACACGACAGATGGTAACTTAGTAGATAAAGATGATTCGATCTCTGCTTCTGTATTTCGTCAGGGCAACCCGAGGTTGACGACCGTTAGTGTATTTGGTACTGGGGTTTTGATCTTGTTTTCCGTTGAAGTGATGGATCCAAATACACAACAAAAGATCAACAGGAGTTTTATAACATTAGCTGTCTACAACACAAAAAAAGGACGTTTTGATATTGCCAAAAAGATGATACCATATCAGACAGGCTTTTGTTGCCACTATGACAGATTTAAAAACGTGTTACACACAATTTTCTTCGATGAAGTCGGAAAGGCAGTTGGGGTGGAGGACATGTTCCACTTCTTCCAAAACCAAAGTGCCAAATTGCAACCTCTTGGCTTCACTAATGACCCAAATAATCATTATAAAGGTTTAGAGGTGTTAAACTGTTGCTTCTCATATGATGGGTCGATGTTATTAACACTCCAAAAAGACATTAAAACACAAAACTTTGAGATCAATGTCTTCAAATTTGTAGTGGTACAAACAACCGTCGAGGTAGAAGACCCAACTAACCCAAAAGCACTTATTAATGTCAATCGAACGAGCTTTGCTCTTGAGTTTCAGTTTGTGTACAACTTCGACCAAACAGCCCATTTGGGGCAAAACAATAAGATGTTTTGGCTTGACAATGACTTGTTTGGCGTTGAGTTGTATACCAACGTCTTCCAAATCCACAGCGTGAAGTTGGACACTGAAGAGTTACTCATCGACACTATTGAGAAAGTCTATTGCATTGTACAAGAATCCGACGGTGTTCGATTCCACGCACTCGAAGAGGTATCTGGTGAGATGAAGTATACCAACATATTGTACTGCTCATATGATGAAGACTTGAAGAAATTACGAGAGGAAAGTCCTGCGTATTTCTTGTGGAAGAGTTTTGTGCAACCTGAGGATGCGTCCTTTGTGAACAAATTTAGTGAGAACGTATACACTGCTATAGAGACGGTCTGTAAAGCAGCACTTTTTGTTCCAGACTCCGATGAACGACAAATTCAATTGATGAGAAGTGCGTCATATGGGTTGATGTTGGCGTCTCCGGAAGATGCTAAGAAGAGTTCGCCATTCATGCAAACCACTGTCAAATTGTTACAAATGTTACACACGATGAACAGCTCTGGATGTATGATGACGTTCAAAGAGTTTTTCAATGGCGCTGCGATAGAGAGAGGACGGTTAAAAGACAGTCTACATAACCACACTAAAAATTGTGCAGACTTCTATTACCATCCCATTCAAACTATTTTAGTCTCTTTAAATCTCTTTTCGTTGTGTTCTGTGTGGACTGAAGAACGTGGGATGTCGATAGAAGCTTTAGAGGAGCAATGGTGTTATCGGAAAGCAAGAAAGATAATGGACGGAGCCGATAGTGACATTCTCAGATTTAAGAGACATATGATGAAATTGAGTCCACAAGGCATTTTGAGAGTGATAGATGTCTGTATGAAGAAGCCCCAACTTGAGCTGATTTGTGAAATAGCAACAGTATCAAACATTTGTAGAGAAGCTATAATAAAGAAGTTAACAGACACCCTGTGTGGGAAACAATATGACCTCTTTTTGACGTACTTGGCTAAGATCTGTATGGCGTATTGTGACTCCCAAAGTTTTTATCTTCTTCTCGAAAAGGTCTGTGTTAAGAATGGGAGTGTCAACCCAGACGATTTTGTGTTGATACGAAAGATGTTAGAAAACCCGACTTCTTCCATTGTCCAAAGTGTCGAAGGGAATATCGGGGTGATGAAGTTTTGCCAACAGTTTGATACAATCATTCAACAATCATCTTTTGCACTGTTCCAAAGGTGGAATGACCAGTACGCACTCTTCCAGTCACTCTTAGCTCGAACAAGAGTTCCTAAGGAACACCTTGTTGCTGTGTCCAACACACTTTTGAAGTTTGAAACCCCATCCAGATTCTTACAAAGAGTCTTTGTGGATGATACAATGTGGATTTGGGAGATCCATGGAGACAAACAATATAAAGATGTTGTAAAGAGTCAAATGGACAGCGGGAAGGATGTCAGTGGGATATCAAGTGACTCTATTTATGAGCAATGCTGCTCAATATATCGACAGTTTGACTTGGAACAAAAAGAGGTGGAGCGCAATGCACAGAACTTTAAGACCAAAATGAACATCGACGACAGAATATTGCTCCGCGCCAAAATCGCAGTGTTGAATGAACTGAATAATGGGGAAGAGAAGAAGTCTCGACTCGAGCATTTTGCATCGATCAAAAAACTCGACTTATTTGCGTGTGAAACGTTAGCATTCATTGCTCATGAAGCAGAACTCCCCGACCTCAGAAACAAGTTCTTGTCTGCTTTTAACCAGCAAAAAACAAAGAGACTTGAGCTTCTTTTAAGGATGAATGATGAAGAGTCTGCTTTAGCTTATGTGAAAAGTGAGAAAGATTCTGTGTCACAATTACAATTATGTACTGCCATGTTATTACATGGAGTTACAAGTAATGATGTCAAGATGTCCCTTGAGAACATAAGAAAGGGTCTAAGTTCTTGATTCTTCTTATTTTTGTCTTGTATATTAGTATAGTATATGAGTATAGTATGTTATAGTAATTATAACAATAAATGAATTACTCGGGTAAACAATAGTCTGGTGACGTTCGGTCGATGAACTGTTTGATGCACCCGGTGTTGAGTAAGTCCCCAATGATAGGGATTCTCCTTAAGAAGGCTAATACGACGGGAAGGAAGTTTCTAAGTGTCAATAATGCAAACAAGTCATCCAAAAACAAACGCAAAAAGATTGAGGAACCCGAAGAACTCGACAACTAGACCGATGAATGTGAATTTGATCAATATCAAAAAGATCCCCACAAAGAAAAAGAATGTCGCCACAGCTCTTTTCTTTTGAAAGAAAAACGCAAAGGTTTGTTGGACACCAGTCACAAAAAAGATCCCACACACAAACAAAATATTCCCAAACGTCAAAAAGCCTCTGTCAAACATAAATACTATTCCAAGTAACGTGAAGAATAATCCTAAACATGTCACAACTACACCAATCTCTATTCGTTAGTTTAATCACTTTTTATGTCACAAACTCTGAAGGTCTGTAAGCATTTAAATGACTTTTTAAGTTTTTTGTGATTAGTATTTGGTGAGGTATTTTTTAATTTAATTTCTAGTTTTATTTATTTACTATATAATAAGTTAAATATAATTATTAAATTGTTTATGTTTTTTTATTAAATAATAGTAATAATTTGTAAAAAAAATAACTATATAAAAGATATGTTTTTGTTTATTTGATAATAGTTATTTTTAAGTACATCTATTAATTGGCGAAAAAATTTTTTTTTTTCACTCAATTAAAAAAAAATTAGTTAAATTTTATAGTAAGAAAGTATAGTTAACTTAGAGTTTAGTTTAATATATATATATAATCAATTACTATATAAATGTAATTATCAATATAGAATTTGTCTTAGAACAAACAAACTAGAAACTGAAAACGTCAAAATGGAGTTAAGTCTGGACAATGATGTCATCACATTAGATAACGAACCGACTAAAAGTGTTTTAAAGTCATTTAAAGTGTCGATGAATTATGAAAATCACAAATATTTTGGTATAGTGAGGATGTATGGGGATGTCCAGTTGTCACAAACAAAGATTACCAAAATCATTAAGAGCGAAGAAGTCATCAACGTCTTTATAGATTTTGGGGGGAGGACTGAGGAAGTTCGACTTAAAAAGGAGAGTCAATTATTATCTGCAAGAAATAGTGTGAATGAGAGTGCTTTGAACACACTTGCACAAGCACAACAAAGCACTAAAAAGACGCCAGATAATCTTAGTCCACGTTCCCCACGAGTCTCAAACAAATGTGAATGTTCTTATAAAGTCGATTTCATGATGAAAGACAACGAATTATTGAAAACGAAGATGGGTGAGTTAGAAAGGCAAATGAATGAAACGAAATTGAAAACACAAGAAGTTGTAGGACACAATGAACACCTTGTTGAATTGGTTGAAGGTGTTGAAAAACGCATGTTTCAAACACAAAGTCATTCACAGAAAGCCGAGTTGTTAGAAGATTTAAAGAAAGATGAAGAACTTCAAAAAATCGACAAAGTCGATTTATCTCCAATCGATGACAAATTCAAAATACTCGAGCAGCTGATAGAACACGTGAAACAAAGTCAATGCAGAGAAAGCGAAAAAGTTGAAAAAGTCGAAAATCAAGTTGACGATATTGTCAAATCACTTGATGTGTTAAAAACAGAAGTTGATGACCAAGAGAAGTGTACACAGCTTCTCATCGCCAAAATTGAGAAAATAGAACAAGACAACACACTTGACAAATTTGAAAGGGTTGAGAATGTCAAAACAACAACAGAAGAATCGCCACTAATGGACTCTGAAAGACATGAAAATGAGTCTCAATTACTCGAATCTCCAAACAAAGAAATCGAAGTTCAAAAATATGTGTTTATTTTCACAAATTTCAAAGACCTCATTGGCGAGTTGCAGAAGTTAATGAATAACGTCGTTGAATTTTGGGATGGAGTGAGAAGAGAACTTGTACCGTCCACAATCATTGTAGTCGATGGAATGCTCATCCGAATCAATAAAGCAGTTATCACGAAAATGTTTCCAGGCGTTCCACTGGTGTGCGCGTCAAACTCTGTGACACAAGATGAATCAATTATAGTGTACCAAACACTCAACACACTGCCACAGATTCTTATTACTAAAGTTGTTTTGTGATGTGTTTTATTTAACGAGTTTTTAATTTAACAAATTGTTAATTAACGAGTTTTTTATTAACGATCACTCAATTAACGAGGCATTTTTAATTAACGAATTAGTAAATTAACGATTTCGCTCTTTCCAAGAAAAAGCTCGTTAAAAACAAAACAAGAAGAGAAAAGAGGGAAAAAGCTCGTTAAAGTAACGATAAAAATGTGTTTTTACGCTCGTTAAATAGGATACCTACCCTACAAGCGAATTAATATGAAACCATACTTAATAGTAGTTTCTAAAAATACGAAAAACAAGAGCTAAAATGAATAATAAAAAGAATTAATAAGACAATATAAGAATACAAAATAGTTGGAGAGGAAAACAGAGAGGAGAACCCTATCATAATACTTCGAAGTATATAAAGAGGACTCTGCGAACTTGAAAAATCGTCAGAGATGCCACCAAAGGACAAAGGAGCCAAGGGAGCTGCCAAGGGAGGAAAGAAGGACACTATGAAACCAAAGTCGAAGTCAGCGGGAAAGGTCCAGAAGAAGTCATGGGCTAAATCGAAAGTCAAGGAAAAATTGAACAACAATGTCTTGTTTGATCAGGCTACTCTTGACAAGTGCAATAAGGAAATCCCAACCATGAAGGTCATCACCCCAGCTGTCGTCTCCGACAGAATGAAAATCACCTGCTCACTCGCTAAGATCGTCATTAAGGATCTTGAGAAGAAGGGATTGATTAAGGCTGTCAGACAAGACAACCATATTTGGATCTTCACTAAGACCGCTAAGGCTACTGAAGCCTCAACTGCCGCTGCTGATAAAAAGGGAGCTAAAGGAAAGGTTGCTGCTAAGAAAGATGCCAAGAAAGATGCCAAGAAGGAAGAAGAGAAGAAAGAGGAACCAAAGAAGGAAGCTGCCAAGAAGGAGTAAAAGGCATAACTGAATAACCGTTAACTTTTGCATTTGTTTAATTAGGGTTTTTGGTTTCATTGTTTCGAGTGAAACATTTTCTCTTGCTAGTTTCATAAAAAACTTGAAAAGAAGGGATGGACTATAGCACTCAAAGATATGAAAAACGGTTGAAGTGTTTACTTAATGAAATTAAAAAAAATGTGAGTGGTGAAACACAGATGAAGTGCTGTGAAGCACTGGAATTGATTGATTATTTAAGTGAAGTGAATTACTTGTGGTATCTTCAAGAATGGACTTCTAAAGAGGTAATGGAAATCATCTATGACAGTGATGAATTGGACATCACTTCTAATATAATCGAAAACGTGTTGTCTGGGAGGCAAAACATCGTCTTACTCTTTGAAACAACTCAGGGGGAGTTGTTTGGATGTTATAACAAAAGCGTAATCAAACAGAATAGTGTAGGGTTCGTTGAAGATAAAGACTTTTTTGTGTTTTCATTCAAGAGCAAATCACTCTTGAAGCCAACTAAATACGTCAAAAAGTGTGACTGCCAAAATTATGTCCAAAACGACTTATCTTTATACTTCCCACACAGTACAGAATATGTGATTGACACAGCAAGTTCATTTCTCATATACTTACCACTTAACGATTGGTGTTCAGAAATTAATATCGACTTCAATAAGTGTTTTGAAGGAAATGCCGCGGACTTTGTCGGCCAGAGTTGTAGTTTTGCATTGAGAAGATTCCTAGTTATACAGATGTGGTAAATAACAATTTTAATAGCATTATTTAAGTTGAAATAGAAACCAACTGAATATATACCATAAATCTAGTTAATTATAGTTTTTTAGTAATAGAACCAAGAATTCAGTTATAAAATGGTTTCTTTTTATTATAACTTGAACTAGAAGAATAACAACTCCAATGACTGATATGCAAATAATCTCAATTCTAACCATATTATTTCACTAATAATAAAAAACAAATTAATAGTAATAATATTTCTAATTAACTGAAATTAAATCCTTTGTCCTTGTAATATAAATAAACAATACCACAAATGATGGAATGCCGTAGAGAGGATTAAAAAAAATATAACTTTTTTTCAAACAAAAAATAACAAAACACTCTATAGAGATATGTCACACAAACAAGGCCGTCTTAACCCACTGACACTGTTCGGCGAACAAAAAAACTTGAAGTTTGTTTCTATTGTCGTTTGCAGTTCATTACTCACAAATTAGGCTGGTGTCCGAAAAAACAAGTTATGTGATTCAAGAAACTGTTGGCTATGGCACATTTGGGATAGTCGTCATGGCGAAAAATTCATCTGGGGAAGTAGTCGCGATGAAGCGTGTTGTTCAGGATCATCACTATAAAGTTTGTGTTTGCATTCTAGTATATTTATGGTATAATAACTATAATAATATAGTTTTATGTATCATTCCCACTCTTGATGATGTGTTAAATAACTGCACTGTTGTTTAATGTGAAAGGTGATTAACACATAGAACCGAGAACTTCCTATCATGGAGATGCTTCATCATGTCAATGTGCTAGAGTTGAAAGACTCTTTTTTTTCCAAAATACCAAATGTGAAGGATGACTATATATTGAATATAGTGATGGACTATATGCCATACAATTTATTCCAAGTGACAACGGAAAAAGTTCTGAGTGAAAAACACGTCGTCTCGTTTTCTTTCCAACTTGCGAGGTCACTGACATACATCCACTCGTTGGGAATATGCCACAGAGATATTAAACCACAAAACGTGCTTGTCAACTTAAACGACTTCTCCCTCAAGTTGTGCGACTTCGGGTCTGCTAAACAACTTGATCCAAAGGGTCCTAACATCAGTTATATATGTTCGCGGTATTACAGAGCGCCAGAACTCATATTTGACTGCACGCATTACTCGACGGCCATTGACATCTGGGCATATGGGTGTGTAGTTGCAGAGATGGTGATGCAGAAGCCTCTTTTCAAGGGGTATAGCAACACAGACCAACTTACAGAGATCATGAAAATACTTGGCAACCCGTCGATGGAGCAAATATATGCAATGAACAGAAACACGTCAGTCTTCAGAATGCCACAAATCAACGCGATAGGGGTTAAGGCTATTTTAGCACCTTACAAATACCCTCCAGGGCTTGACAATTTACTCGAAGAAGTGTTACAATACAACCCATTCTCGAGACCAACTGGTATGATGGTTATGGCACATCCCTTCCATAAAGCTGCGCGTGTAGGTGTCGTGTTCACAGACGATGAAGTGAAAGAAGCCAAGGTGAGAGGTATCAACTTATCTATTTGATTATTTTTCTATTACCATAATACTATTCAAACACATTAATAATACTGAATTACAACAATCCGCTCCATTACAAATAAGCGTGAAGGACACGAAGTTAAGTCATCCGTCATATTATACACGGCTGATAAACAAATGTGGATCGACCCTTTAGATGACGTTCTTGAGATCCCAAGAACTCCTACTCCATTCAACCCCCCACATGCACATATCAAAACACCTTCTTCAAATAAACAGATACCACATTGCTCACGGGGATCGGGATAATATCGGTGTGCATCTTTACTCTTCTTTGTGGGGAGTTTAAAGATAAAATGCCGTCCTACATTAAATTTCCAATTCCCAGTCTTACACAAGGGCTGTGTCGTGAAGAACCCAAACTTCTCGCCTTTACTATCTTCAAATATAAAACACAAATTGGGCTTATGCAAGACGCTTTGATAAAACGAAGTATGCGATTGTTCATCAATATCAGAATCAAATATTATATGCCGTTCTGTCGCTTGAAACCACGCAAAAAGTTGTTCATTGATTTTGCATGTTTGTGCCTCACAGTCACTTACATCCAAATCCGCCTTCTTTTTCATTGGTTTTGATATTTAGTTCTTTTTAAATAATATAATTAGTATTATATTATAATTATACTATAAATTTAAAGTAAAAAAAAACAATGAAAAAAGCTCAATGAGTTTCTGGTTTCATACAAGACTTAACAAGTTTAGCCCATTTTTGGTGGTTGTCCTTGAATTGAAGTGTGTAGAAATGCTTTTCGTTCAATGAGAGATTAAGGACTGTTCCTTGGAGTGCTTCGGAGACAAAGCAAGTTGACAGTGGTATTACTATTTCAGCTTTAGCCTGGCCAAGTTCTTTAAAGAACATCATACACTTTCTCTTGAGCACAACCCATCGAGTATATGTCTTCTTTCCTTCTTCCACAGTGGCTTCTCCTTGTCTCAAAATATCGATTAGAGTCAATACAACAGAGTCTTCTTTCGATGCGTCAAAGAGGGAAGACACACTAATGTCTCTATCGCTCATAGACCCTTGCATCATCTTCGATTCAAACTTCGCACGCTTCTTTCTTTCTTCTTCTCCGCTCTTATACAATTCTTCCAAGTTAGTTTTAATAGTTCCAAAGACTGTGTCATATGCTTCGATCATGTGTTTGACTGTTCCTGTTAATTTCTCGACATCAAAAGTGCCTGTTTCCACTGGATAGATATTCGGGGCAATGACTTTCGAGAGGTTCTCCGCAGTCATCAAGTTCTCTTTAGAGTTGTCTGCAATGAGCTTCAAGAGTCTAAAGAGTCTTTCAATGAACGCCAAAAATGATTTATCGAGTCCGTTCAAGATTTTTTGAATCGCTTCGTCCTCCTGTGTCGACTGTAATTCCACTGGTAGTTTATCTGGAAGTTGGTCGCAGTACTTCTTTAAGACGTTTGCAAGTAAAATCGCATCATTTAAATTGTCGTCGGCCATTCCACCCGCATCGATTTTATATATGAGTCCGTCAAGTTCCACCATATTAGAACTTAATCTGAAAATACCTTCCGTCTGTGGCGCAGACTTCTCAAGAGCGTCAAAGATTTGGTGCAACACTTGTGGCATCAGCCTCGTTTCATCTTCTTGTTGGACGGTCGCTCTTTTAATGTCGATCCCAAACAATTTGTTATTCTTATGGGAATACCCTATTTGTGACAATTCGTGTGTGCACTTCTGAGCCAAGTCAAGCTTCGAAAACAGAATATCCAAATCAGGCAATTTCTTCCCACGCTGCGCCATAGACACTTTCACTATCGACTTCTTCTCGTCAATTTCAAACTTGGAGATGTTTTTCGTGTCATATTGCTCCACAAATATGTAGGGTTTGTCCTTCGGCATATCTTTATAGTCTTTATCCTTCGGGTTGATGACCTTAGAAAAGATTAACACATCAGAGAAGAAGAACATCATCCCCTCGACCTTATTAATAGTGCATTGCTGTGAGCTGAAAAATCGTCGATAAGGTGGTTGCTTCGGTGGGATATTCGCGATTTTGTTCATCTCCATCGTTGTCGCAAAGTTCGTTTCCGCCAAGTCGCAGTGTCCTGCAATTCTTGTGAAGACGTAAATCAGTGTTTCAATGTCTTCGTCGTTCTTCGTGAACTCCGTTTTCAACTTTGTGAAGATAGGAACGTATTGGGACAACTGAATGAATGGAGCTCGCAGCAATTCACCAAGGGTTGGGATCTTGTTACTCGTCGCAATCTCGTCCACCATCTTTTTGAACGGTTCCTTCGTCAGACATTGTTGGAATCGTGCAAATGCCTTCCCAAACTTCAGACAGTGTTTGTGATAGACTTGATAGATCTGTGGGACTTGTGTGGAGTAAATGGATACAAACGTCTCGGGAGTACTTTTCACCAACTTCCTTACAATTGAGATATGGAGTCTTCGAATCAATTCGATCCCTCCAAAGATCAAATTGACATCATCCAGTGACAGTCCACACAGTGCAAGTGTCGGGTCAAATAAGATCTTTTTAGCGTAGTTCATGACTAAATACGTGATGTTCTCCACATACATTGTTTCCGTTTGAAACATGTGGAAACACGTCGGGTAATTATTCATCCATTCTGGCGCTGTTTTCTCCTCTTCGTCATTATTAATTTCTTCATCTTTCACTTGATTATAGTGTTCCAGTTCCTCTTGGAATTGGTTTTGGTATGACAGATAAGTGGATGGTGCGGTCTTCATGACGTCATTGTACTTCACGCAAATGTCCATCATTTGTTGCATAAAGTTGATATACAAGTCGTTATATTCTTTCCTCAAAGAGTCTCCTTCTTTAATAGTCTTTGCGGTAATATCGTCCTTTTGTTCTTGAAGAGCAGCTGCTTTCTTGACATCCGGTTTCGCTTGTGCGTTCATTTGTTTCACCTTTTCAAGTATTTTTGAATAGTCCTTATACGTTTTGTCATACTCTGTTCTTGACTTCTACTCCTTAGTTCTCTTCGTAGAGGTATCTCTTGTTATAAACACAAACCACAAAGTCCTTACTCACATCAAGAAAAGCCTTCCATCGTTGCATCATTTCAACGAGTCTTTCATTTCGGTCAGACATTTCATATGAAACTAATGAAATGATCATTCCGGTGTCTGCCAGACAATTACAGAACTCCTTTCTATGGTCTTCAGGTTTCTCAGTGAGTCCCTGGAATATATTTTTAATCGATTCGGTGTGTTGGTGGTGTTCATTCAACACGTCTGTGTATTAGTGGATATTCACAAAATTGTTAATATGAACAAACCTCCAAATTTAGTCAGTGTTGGGAGTAATTTAACAGATTCAGTAGCGTGCTCACGAGCAGTTTTAATGTCGTTAAAAAGTTGTTCAATTTCGACGTTATTAAACGCGATGATTTCAGTATCAGTCATTTGCTTGCGTGACTTTTTGCCTGGCATACTGCTTGTAGAGTCCTTAGTTATTGCTTTACGGTGTGCGGGTAACTTCGGTGGAACTGGTGCAGAAGACATAAATGGATTCCTTTTCGAGTTCCATCAAGTTTATTCTATTCGGTTGTTTTCTACAAACCATATAAACTAGAACTATTCTTTGAGGTACTAATTTACTTGTTTAAATAACAGTTCTTTTGAAGGCTGAACTTCTTTGACAGTTCTTTCCTTGGGTTTTCCTTAATAAAATGTTGAGTCCTTTTCTCCCGTTTCTATTAGTTTGAGTGGACTGTTATATATATAAGTCACTTTAATTCCTTTTTACTCGCATTTTTAAGTACCACAAAAAAATCAAAATTTCGTAAAAATTCCTACATCAAAAAACCATTAAATAGTGTTCGGGATTCAATAACAAATTCTATTTTTTAATTATTTTGAATTATAAATATATAATTTGTTTTTTTGTTTGGAACCATAGATTAAGACAGTTAAGTCCTAACCAAACCAATGAACCTAACATATTCAAATTAAAAATCAATTTCAACTTGTGGCTGTGCTGAACTTGGTTTTGGCATTTCTTCCTCTTCGTCGTTGTTTTCCGTCTCAAATGGGACGTCACTGATCCCCCCATCAACACTGATTTTCTCCTCTTCTCCATCGCCCACAACAATTCTCCCATTGTCTTCGATTTTGTCTAAGATGTCGAGCGCCTCATTCGTATCAACCAAAATCGGTTTAAATCCTTGTGCGTGTGCTTTCCCTTCGACAATTGCGGTATCTCTTAAGTACAAACTCTTCACATTCACAATGTCTCGCTTGAGTAACTCCGTCAGTGTCGCGCACTTCTTCGTCATCTCTTCATTCCCTATAATCGCGGCAGCTCGGGTGACTTCCTCGACAACTTGTTCAATTCGCAATATGCATCTCACAATCAGTCCTTCTGTTGTTGCGGAAGCGTCAATCACTTCATTGAATGGTTTCTTCAACGTCCACAATGCGACTCCCTCCATCAGTCCGTAATTCATTTTGACGTACTTCTCTATCGTATATTCAATGTTCTTTGTATTTTCATAGTCGACAATTTCCATCGCATATTTCTCAAGTAAGTCGATCAGTTCATTGGTCTCTGGCTTAAAGTTGCCAATGAGTTCTTCCATCGACTCATTCGATGGTTCAAAGACAAAGACACTAAACAACGCAGCAAGTTGATACACCTCCATCTTGTTCAAGAGTCCATCAAAGAGCATATTCGTCAATATCATTCCATCAGAACTCACCATTTCCTTCGCAACTTTCCCTTTCAGTGTTAATATGTTCGTCTCTTTGTCTATAAATTCAAAGTGCTTCAGAACATCAAGACGGTTCTCGAGGTCTTTATCCATCACCATCTTGTTGCTCTCGTAATTCAAAAGTATGTCATTCGCAAGCTTCTGAAGTTTGTTGCGCCTCCCCGATTCTTTGTTAAATTTCTTAAACACGCTACAAGTGAAGGCAGGCATTTTTATCATGATCTCGACGTTCTTTGTATACTCACTGAACAACTCTTTCACGTTCATCGGTCGCTTTTTCTCCGATTGATATGGTTGGAACAATGGCTCTTGATACTTTCTTGTTATAATCGAATTCAGTCGATCATAAAGAGCAGTCTTGATCTTTTTGTCTCCCAACTCTATTGTAGTCTCCGTGTAATTCTCAGTACCTTTGACATACAATACTTTATTATAAACCGTTTTAATGTCTCGCAAATTAATGGGGGTGACCCTCCCTTCCGTCTTGTCGAAATAGTAAACGGTAAACCCTTCGCCTACCTTATCCAAAATAATTCCATAGAACGATTGACCTTCTCGACTGAATTTCACAACTCTTCCAGTCTTGTAAAAGTGTGCTCCACCTTGTGCCTTTGCAATAAACACTTCTTCTGTGATTTTGCGTCTGATCTCATTGATTTCCTTCTTGATGAGAATTAAAGCCTCATGGTCACAATTAGGGTTCGAGCACTTTGCCTGCTCTTCGTCCTTCTCAAGTACTTTCTGAGCCTCTTGTGCAATCAGTGCCCGGTTCGCCATCTCAAACAAATCAATTTTCGAAAAGCTCTTAATCATCTTCTCAGACACGTCGTCACTTCCACTGGTCAACCAATTCAGTAACATCCAGTAAGTCACATAAAACTGACTCTTCATCTTCGCAGGGGCTCCGCATGAGATGTTTTGCATTTGTGTCGAACTTGGAAGCACTTTGTTTGGGAAGAGAATCACATTCCCTATCGGGTCAATGCCTCTTCTTCCGGCTCTTCCGGACATCTGTGTGTATTCTCCCGGGTTTAAAAAGCGTTTCTTTTCTCCATCAAACTTCTCAACAGAAGGAAACACAACTGTTTTGGCAGGCATGTTAACTCCCATTGCAAACGTCTCTGTCGCAAACAAGACTTTCAAAATGCCTTGAGAAAAGAGGACTTCAACAATTTCTTTTAAGAACGGAAGAAGTCCCGCGTGATGTACACCGACTCCTCTCAGCAACAACGCTTTGACTTCTTTAATTTGTGGCAAATTCTTCTCCGACTCGACTAACCCTTCAGTCATCTCTTGGAATAGGGTTTGCACTTTGTATGCGTTAATATCAAATTGCGTCGATTTAGCAAGTCTCTTTGCGTAGTCCATCACCAGCTTTCTCGAGAAGATGAAGAAGACGCAGGGCAACTTCCCATCTTTATCGAGGAACTCGATGAATTGTTGCAAATGTTTCACGTCGTGGACGGCGTCGAACATTTTCTTCCCTTTCATAAATTTGGGGACTATTCTCTTATACGCTTCTAAATAGTTTTCGTTCAAGAAACTGATTTCTCCCTTCTTAAACATGTAGAGGGCATCTTCTTTATTCTCTTTAGATTTCCCACAGAAGACATAGTGCTGTAAAGGCACGGGTCGGTGTAACGTCTTAACTAAACACACTTTTTGTTGTTTAGTTCTTCCTATCCATTCAGCAAAGTTGATCGCATTCTCCACCGTCGCACTCAACATTAACATTTTGACGTGTGGCGGCAAGTTCATGATGACTTCCTCCCACACAACACCACGTTCTTCGTCATTCACATAATGCACCTCATCGAAGATGACCCAATCGACGTCGTCGATGAACTTTGCGTCTTGATATAACTTCGACCGAAGAATTTCAGTGGTCATGATAGTGACCAAATCGTCCGGTTGCTGGATCACAACATCGCCAGTGATGATCCCGACCTTCCCAAATATTTTCCTGAAGTCGTAGTACTTTTGATTACTCAAAGCCTTAATCGGGGAGGTGTATATAGCTTTCATTCCTTTCGACTGCGCAAGTGCAATGGCGTATTCCGCAGTCGCAGTTTTACCAGCAGACGTGTGTGCTATGACGAAGACATGTTGTCCCAATTCCATGTGATAAATCGCTTTCTTCTGGAACGTGTCGAGTTCAAATGAGTACTTTCTTTTCATATCAGGGACCAATGTGTCAAATTCTTTCATGTCGTTTTTTTCTTCGAACGCGTATCGGTACTCCCCTTTCGCACTGAGTAACTTTTCAGTGAGTGTATCAATTTCTGTGTTCTCTGGTTCTTCAACTTGTTTGGTCTTTTTTGTCCTCTTCATTTTTTGAAGCTTTTCTTTTTGTTCTGGCGATAAAGAATCGGACATCTTTTCTTATATACAAGTTGGACAGCTGTTTTTTTAAATACCTTTTCTATTTGATTTAATCATTTTTTTTATTTCTTTTATTATTATTATTTTATTATTATTATACTAGTTGTTATAACTCATTGGCAAGAGTGATGAGTCCATTTCGTTAAAGTTTTTTGTAGTTTTTACATTATTCCATAGTAATTGAATAACATATGAATTATTAAATTTTACCATATTTTTAATTCTTTATTCTATTCTTTATAATAATTAAGTTCAAGATTCATAAAATAATAAATGTTATCCTTCAAACTACATTTTAATAAAAATTAATAATATTTTTATTATATTAATATAAATAATCAATTTATTATAATTATAATAATAATAAATAATTAGAATGAATAAGTCAAAGAAGTAGAACGAAATAAACAGAAAACAATAAACTAATTACTTCTCAGCAGTCTGTTCTGTGTCGGCAGTTGTATCATTTTCATGAACGGGTGGTGGTGGGATTGTCCCATCGTGAAGTTGGACCTGCTTTTTGTCATCAATTTTGAGATCTCTCTGTTTATTGATTCTAGCTTGTTCGGCGTAGTTACCTCTCTCTTCTTCAGTTAATGACTTCCACTTGTCACTTAACATTGCCATTACTTCATTACCACTCACACCTTCTTGCTTAAGCTCTTCACGGTGTTGTTTACAGAATAATAAATACTATATATTAATATATAGATTACTATATAGACATCATTAATAATTTATTAATAATAATTATTAAAAATCGATATAGATATGTTTTAATTGATAATAGTATTTATATAGTATTACTTTAATAGTAAAAATACTTACTATTAATAAACCAGAAGAACAAACTGGATGCCATTCTTCTTTCCTCTTCATCCCATCGTTCTTCTTCTTCTTGAAGAGATACCCATCCTCTCCAAGAAGTACATTTTCTATAATAGCCGTCTTATAATATCTTTGTGTAATATCTTCAGGCTCAGTATCCCATACGGCGGAAGCTCTCTCTTCGGCTTGTTTCATAGTGAGGGTAGGGGCCTCTCGGAGGTATTCTCTACCTTTCCACTTCATATATATAGCTTTAGCCAAGTCGTTGAGCTCACCTTCTCTACGCTCACTTTTTTCTTTATTGGTTGCTTTCTTGCGTTTATGGTGTTCGGGTTGTTCGGTAGGATATTTAGGGAGTTTAGCCGTATCCATCTTGTTTCTTCTTTCAAGTTCATCCCGCTCTTTTTCTCTTTTTCTAGCTATTTTTCTCTATTCACATTACTATACTCATAAACCCTATTCTTCGGGATGTTTTTTTTTTCTCTTTTCGAAACACTACCAAATAATTCTTGGACGCACATAAAATGGCATTTCTGACTTTGTTTACTGTTAAAAAATATTTCTATGAAAAAATTAAAAAAAAATAGTTTACTCAAAAAATAAAAAACTTGTTGAAGAGTTTTGCCAAAGGATGAAATGTGATTTTTAATAAAAATATAAATTTGAGAAAAAAATACATTATAACACTATTACTATAAAATAATACTATTAAATAATCCAATTATTAAATTTGATTTATTTAAATTATAATTATTATTATAAACCACTTGTTTGGTTTTTGGTAAGTTTGATGTCAAAATAGAACTACATATTACTTTATTGTATTTAGATTAATTATAATAATTATAATTATAATTAAATAATACTATACACATATAGAAATTTCAATTATAAATATATTATAAATAATAATATTAATAATTATTCTTATAAATATTAATACTTAATAATTAATAAATTATTAAAAAATTTCAAAAAATAACAAAATTAATTAACCAACTTATTGGTATAAAGAAAAGTGATGACAAAATGCCACGTAAAATGATTTACTTCATTCTTTTTATAATAATAATATTATAAATAAACAATATATTCTAGTAAAAAAAAACACTAATCATTCAAAAAAAAGTATCAATAAAGTTAGAATAGATGGTTCAAAAACTATTATAAAAATAATATAGTTTTAAGTAAGAATTTATTCTAGATAATCCACCAGAAACCCGCCCACATGCGGAAGTATACTCCAAAGAAAACGTCACCAAAATACTGCATAAACACTAATATCTGAACTGATTGGATCTTGAAATTTACACAATGAAAATTAACATCCGTCTTACGTATTGTTCACAAACGATGACCGTTGAGTTTCCGGACGAAGAGTTTGTCGGGATGACTGTCGCGGGTTTGAAACAGAAAATCCAACAGCAGCAACAAGACCTTACCGACTTCAAGTTGATTGTGACAGGTAAAGTGTTAAAAGACGAGAACATTGTTTCGGAGGCTGGGGTGACGAACAACTCGACAATTCACTTAGTTAGATCAAAAGTCCCAATGGCCGCGCCACCAGTAGCCGCTCAACAAGTGCCTTCTCAGCCTCAACAGACTCAACCGCAGCAACAACAACAACAAACTTTCCCACAACAACCAACACAACCACAATTTCCAGGAATGGGTGGGATGGGAGCTATGCCAGGCATGGGAATGGGTGGGATGCCAAATATGGCTGGAATGGATCCACAACAAGCCCTTCAAATGATGGAAGAGAACCCACAAATGATGGATCAAGCCTTAGACTTTATGTGTCAAAACCCCGCTTTGACTCGTTCTGTTTGTTCCTCTATTCTTTATTCATTCAGGACTTCACACATACTGATTCTCAGATGTTAGCCATGAATCCACAAACTGCCGCTTTAATGAACAATCCTCAACTCGCTCCTTTCATCGACCAAATGTTGTCTAACCCACAACTCTTACGTTCTATGATGAACCCGCAAAACTTACAACGCGCAATGCAAGGGGGTATGCCACAAATGGGCGGTTTCCCTCCTCCACCTATGACTTCACAACCTCAACAACAATTCCAACAACCACAACCAACTCAACCAAACCCTTTCGGCGCTTTATTTGGTACTCAACCTATGAATACTCAACCAATGCAGCCACAAGCCCCTCAACAAGTCCCACAACAGATGGTCCCTCAACAACCCGTTCAACAAAGAACGCCACAAGAGATTTATGCAAATCAAATTAACCAACTCAAGGAGATGGGATTTTACGATGAGACAGAAAACATTCAGGTGTTACAGCGAACGGGTGGAAACGTGAATGCAGCTGTGGAAATATTGTTGTCAAATTACCACTAATTTTTTAATTTTTCTCTTTTGTTTAGTATTGCCATGGGGACTTCGTTCAATTCAAAACACAGTGACCAGTGCAACAACACAAAGTAACAAAGAGTTGAGTTGAAATAAAAACAAATATCAATCGTCCGTCGGCGCAGAGTTCGACCTTCTCCTAATATGTTGTTCCAAACACACTTTAAGTGGAGTGCTTCCCTGTCTCCGCATCACAAAATTTTGATTGAGTGGCCCTAGCCAGTCTGGATCGTCCATTGATTCCATAGTGATCATCACGCTCGTCTTTTTCGAGTGTGCATTTTTAGTCTTAGTGTTAGTGAATAACGTCGTGAGAGGTGTTGAGTGTGCTTGCACCATAGAGAGGGGTTTATTCAGTTTAAATAAGATTCTTTTCGGGTTCGACAGCAGTGCCTCCGAGATTCTGATCGCCAACACGACATGAGCAATATCTGCTCTGAATATGTAATGAGTGTTAAAATAAGAGAAGCAGAACATATTAAATTTCAGTTGTGAGATTTTGAATGAAGAGTCCGCAATAATGCGTTCATTTGCCGTCACAAGTATATCAATGTGTTTCTCTTGCGTCTTGACATTTTCTATCGGAGACGACAAGTAATTATACAACGTCGTTGGAAGAAGAAAAGAGGAACTAAGAGGCATCAATGGCGTCACAAAAAGGGTGAATGTCTTTTGCACTACATCATTCACATCAATCTCTGCATCCGTCGCAAAACTCGTCGGAAAGAGTGTCCCAATCATCAGTGTCGTAACGGGTCGTTTAATCCTTTCATTCGGTGGACTTTCAGACGGGGAACCCGACCCCGACTCCGTCGAGTAATTATGTGCTTTCAGTACTTTCACAATTTGGAGCATCTTCGACTGTTCTCGTGAGAAATTGTGTTTGTTTGCAAAGGAAATGATACTTTGTGAAGACTCAACGTGTTGTGCCGTGTGTATCCCACACGTTTGTTCTTCAACCTCTCCACTAATACTCGTGTGAATACCTCGATTGAATGGCGTACATCTATAAATGGTCTTCCCAAACCATGTGATTCCCAACACATAGTTCTCATTATGACACAAATTACCCTTTTCGTAGAAGATATACAACGCGCCGTTGTTCTTAACGGACACCATATTCTGCTTTTCTCCTTCGCACCTCTTCTTCAAAAATAAGTCAAAGACGTTTTGGTTCCGGAACTTTGTTTTGGAGTTGAAAAAGTGGGAGATGAAGAACGTATACAACTGGTCCACCGGTGCACTATAAAACGTGCTCTTCGCCTTCTCGAGTGTAATGAATTTGTTGTTGACCTCAAAAAAAAGTTCGTCTGATATTTTCGAATTGAGCGACGTGAAGATGATGACCAAGTGGATCACATTGTTGAAGACATTCATCGTCGGGAAATTGAGAAATTTGCATGAAAACTCGAGAAACGTTTTCACAACGTATTTGCAGTATTCTGTTGTGTTCGGGATGTCGTTGATACAACTCGCAGTGAATTTGAATATTCTTGAAATACACAAAAGCGCCTTCTCGTTATTCATCGTCACAAGTTTTGTCAAGTACGTCATTTTCATCGTCACTAAAAACTTCCAGAGCAATTCCCTCGTTGTTTTCGGCTCCACGTTAATGTTTTGGATATTCTCAATCCTATCTGCATCGTTCTCTGAAGGTGTATTGCTTGGAAGAAATTCCATAAAGAAGTGCTCAAACACTTCAAAGAGATAGACCACTTCACTTTGTTCAAAGTTGACGAAAAGGAGTTTGTAGAGTATAAGAACGGTCGCCCTCTCGATAAAGTCTTTCTCAAACATCGCATTTTTGAGATATTTGTTTTGTGAAAGGGAGATGTAGTAATTGCAGTTGTATATCAAAGGAATAACAATATTTGCCGCTCGTGTTTTGTCATTCAAATACTCGAAAATAGCGCGAATGAGTGGTTCTAATATGAGACTAAGGAAGTTTGTGTGTTGTGAAAGTATCGAAGGAAGTTCATTGAATAACGCGGTCACTATATTCATGTTGTTTGACTTCAGAAGTCGCTTCAACACAACAACAAACAGTGCCAACTGTTTATCTCCAATTTCCTCGTCATTCAAATTCTCGAGAAACACTGCAAATGATGGAATAATGAAGAGTACAGTTTCTTCGTTGTCTTTCATATTTTCGTTCAAGAGGATATAGACCAATTTTGAGTAATACAATGTGAACATTGTTTGTGGTGAAGGTTCAGTCTTTGTGAGTCTGAGTGAAATATCAGAGATGTTTCTTGCAAGGTTACTAATTGTAAGGACATAATGTGGAAGTATTCTTTGATTGATAACAAGGGTAGGGTCGAGGAGGTTGAACATTCTCTTCCAGACTTCTTTCAATTGAAGAAATTGTATTTCAAAGTCAATTGAAGTCATATAATTAAAGAGGACAATCACTGTACCCTCCTTTTCGACTGATTTATAAAGAAAGATGTCATTTTGCAGTGAATTGAGAAACGCCTCGAATTTGTCGAACACGTCTGGGTAGAGTAACCAAGTCATAATCTTCTCTGTGAATATCTTCCACTCGGGCACTTGTGTTCCCGTGATCACAAAAGTCTTACAAATCAACTCAAAACATTTCACGACATTCTCTTTGTTCTTTAAGAAAGAATTTGGTAAATTGTTTCCGATCAACTCGTCCATTATTCCGATTAATAACACATTTAATGTCGAAATATGTGCCTTTTGAAGAGGTGAGTTATAACTTACAATCCCCTTTTCAAACAATATAAGTGCTTTCTGACACAAGGGAATATACTTTGATAACGGTGAATTGATTTTATTCTCTTTCCCAAAGAGGAGTGAGATGTGTGTTAACATGGTCACAACACTTTCTTCTTTCTGTTTCAAATGGGAAGGCATGTTTTCCTTGTCCATCCACCTTCTACTATGTCAACAATGCCTCATATATCTTATCTATTGACACATCCAATCGATCAATATAATTATTTTGAAGAGAAACAAACTGATATATATTAAGGCAATTCTCCACCCTTTGGAAATCTACATCAGAGACTATCGGAAGCTTAAACCCAACAGCGATGCTGTCAAATATAAAATTCATTCGTTCGTCGGACGAGATGTTCACTATAAAGGATATGGTGTTCGCGACTATTTGTTGTATCGTCGTTCGCACTAACACACGCTGCGCTTCTTCGTCAAACATTAAGAGAGGATTATCTCGTTGCGGTTTAAGTATTCCCATGCGCTTCACCGAGACTAGTATCATATGGCAATTCCAAGTGATGTCCACACAGTTTAAACTCCATTCCATTTACTATACTCCTATAATTATTACTATAACCAAACTAGTACATGCATAGTCTAAATTGATCATTTGCTGACTTAATTTTGTGGCTTTTTTCGTTCTATAATAACAACAACTTCCAGCCCATTTTTTACGTTCACTTTCTTCTTGGATTTCTTCCCAAAAGTACCCCTTTCCCTTTTTGTTCCTAACAATCCCCATTAGTTATTAGTTTCCTTTTCCTTTTTTACTTTCACTGCCTTTTTGGCAGTTTCTAAATAATAAATTGAAATCATTGTAAATTCTTGATCTACTTTTATTGGACTTTTAACCTACAGAATCGGGTTATTTGGTTATTTTACAACCAATCGCCAACCAATTCAAATTCCATAGTCACCAATTCAATTTATTTGCCATTCGTTTTGTTATTATGTATAATTGAATTGATATACTTAAAATTTATAGTAATAAAATTATGTTATATTGTAATACCAATCCTCAAATAGTAAATAATCGTCAACCTCGGCATTTTCACTTTACTCTATTTTTGATGTTAGAACAAAATGAATAACAAAAAACTAAATAACAAAAAAATGAATGGAAGTGTTTACTCTGTGTTGAGTGGGAGCAACCTGCTCGACCTTGGTGTTCTGCTTCTTGACATTCGAGGCGAGAGCGATCCCTTTGGGTAGAAATTTGAAAGTGCTAAATCGGTTGCTGCGCTTTTTGAAGTCTTCAATTTGAATTCCGAGATGGTGAGCCTACTCCCAACCTTCCTGGGAGTTCCTGCGCTATGGCTCTCTTGTTCCGTGTCAATTTCCGGGTGTGTTGTTTCTTTGTACAAACTTTGTAACACAAGTATTGGTATTACTGGGGGATTTAAGCCCATCCCCTTTCTTTGATTGGTTGTAGGGTCAGGCACTTCAATCTCTGGCGGTAAGTTCACAGCCAAATCCACGGTCTGTGGTATCCCAAGTTTTTTGAATGGGTTTGGTAAGTGGTAATATGGTAGTGTACAGTTTAAATAGTGTTTAATTTTTTCGTCATCGCTTCCGAACTTCATTGCGTTGTCCACAACCTCCGTCAATTTGATTTCTGACGCGCGTGCATCTTCCGGAGTCAATTTCTTTCTTTTCAGTAATTTGTTAAAGTGCTTGATAACCTGTCTGTTAATGCACTCAAAGCACCGCTTACACTCTTCATCGTCTGTAAAAACAATCGCAAATAGAAATCCGTTGTTATGAAATTTGATTGTGTAATTTTCGTATTCAACTGTGCACAAAGGATCCAACTCTCTGAAAACAAAAAGGAGTGGCCGTTCATTATCTTTGATTGCTATAGCTATCCGTTGCTGTGCTAAAGATTTGAGAAACACAAATTTCCCACAGACACCAACAAATTCAAGTTGCTCTGTTGAAGGGTTGAAGTCATACAATGATATCTCGTTACTACAACAATAGTACATCCAATCTTCGCTCAAATAGCCTGAAAACTCGGAAGTGATTTCCACATCACACTCTATTGCCATGGACTAAATTTTTGAGTTTATTTTCAATTCCAATTTGAAAGTTCTTGCTTTCTTGGTATTTTTTTGTCCTTTTTTTTTTGCTCTTTCCGACTATTTCTATCATATAATTTAAGTGATTTTTATTTTATTTAACTTTATTATTTTATTGAAATAGCTTTCTAACAATTGTAGAATTTTTCATTTTCGTCGAAAAAAACAAATTCATAAGTAATATATAGTTTATCAAAATTAATTCCAATATTAGTATTTTATTTATCTAAAAAAAATAATTTTACTATTATAAAGCTAAAGTTATATTAGAAATATTCTATAAAAAAACAGCTATTGATAATAAAATTAACCTACTGTTTACTATTTAGTACAAGTTCTTTTATTAACCTTTATTTTATATATTTTATTATAAAATAATAATCATTTTACTATTCATTTGTATGTTTAAAAATGTAGTTTATGGTGTTATTGAACGTTATTGTGTTTATATTATAGCAAAAATCAATTAATTATTAAACCATATGAAAATAAATATCCAATAATGTAATTGATTATTATTAAAAATTAACTATAACTTTATTATTTAACCAATAAATAATAAAATATATCCATAAAGATAATTTCACCTTTGTAATAATTATTTTACAAGCTTCAACCTTTGAATATTTTCAACAACAAAAGGAGGGTAAAACTAATAAGGTTTAAATGGGACGTTTTAAGCCAGAAAGACAATCACAGAATGATGCCACAATCGACGGAACCAAACCAATTCCTTCTGTTCGTCAAGAGCATGTTCAAAGTGCAAAAAAGCTTTTTGTGACTGGTCTTCCACCAACCTATACCAACAACGACTTTAACATTTTGATGGGAACAGAGACCCCAGTCAAGAAATCGTTTATTATTACAAAACCTGGCTCCAAGGTATGTACTGGCATTGGTTTTGCGATATAGTTTGTTAATAACATTTTAATAACATTTTAATAACTTATAGTGGAACAGAAGAAGATGCTCATAAAACTAAGAGCAAACTGAATCGAGTTTTAGTTGAAAAAGACGGGAAACAGTTCTTAATTCAAGTCAAGTTTTCTGATAAAAAGGAGCATGTTGAACGTAAAGCGCCGGTTAATGTTGTCAAGCCAAAAATGGAAGAAGAGTCCGACCTTTTAAAATCCAAGCCAATAAGTGTACCAACTGAAAAGAAAGAGAAGGTGGTTGAGAAAAAAGAGGAAAAACCCATTGAAAAGAAAAAAGAGGAGAAATTAAATGTGACCGAATTGGAGAAAAATGATAAGAAAAAGACGACCAAAGTTGTTGACGACATTTTAGACCAAATCGAGAAAGGTTGTTTCAAAGAAGAAGAAGATCTTAAAGAACTCAAGAAGACTCGAAAAGAGCGAGAAAGAGAAGAAGAATCAAGTAGTGACAATGAAGAAGATGAAGAAGTTCCGTCTAAACCAATTAAAACCACGAAAATAGGTGATGGGCATTTCATCTTTGAACCTGAAGAACCCAAAAAGGTTCCACAAAAGACTGATCGAAAAGATCAAAAAAGTCGTCCACGTGAACGAAATGTGAAAAACAATTTCGGGAGAGATCAAAAAAGTTATGGAACAAATGGTAAAAGATATTGAATGTTTAAGTGATTATTGTTTGACTCTGAAATATTGTATTATATGAAATACGCTCTGATACCCTTTTTCATATGTTTCATTTCTCTTAAAAATATGAACTATTATTTATAGTTATATTATAATTAAATTTACCATTAAAGATTTTTACTAGTAAATATAAATAAATATAGTTCTAAAACTATGTGTCAAACTAATAGAATAAAATATTATATATATTATATATTATTAACTATGTGTTGATATGATAGATATCGATAAGATTGACTTACAATTACAATTTACTACGTTGCATTAGTCTTATACGAGTGCAGTACCAGCGATATAGTCAACAGATTTGTCAAGTGTTCGCTTGTAGTTGGGTAATTCCCCGTTTCTACTTTTCAATATTATGTTTTCCATTATTCAAAACAAACCCTCTTGCTTCTTCTTTATCTCTTCGATCATTGCTTTAATCTTCTTCACAAAGTAATCAATTTTTTTCATATCCTTTTCAACTCCCATGTTCCATTCATTAAATTCTCGAATAAATTCGTTCACCTCTTTATCAATTGGGGAAACTTCTCCTTCGACTTCCACGGGCTCGAGCGGTTGCTCTGTCGCCATATTTTATCTTTTCAAGTTTCTTGTCTTCAAGTTCTCTTGTTTCTCTTAATAACTATAACTTAATAACTTAACTAGTAAATAATAACTAAAGTTAGACTTCCTCTTAGACGTACAAACCAAACAGAACTTCGCTGTAATTTATTATTTTCATTTCTTCGATTTCTTCTTCTTTACTTCCTCGAGTCTTCCCTTCATTAAGTTTTCTGTTGAGACGTCTGCGAGGGAGACAGCCACCTTCTTTACAATTTTCGTCATCTGTCGCACTTTTTGGAGTTTCTCAAAGTTGAAATCCGTTTCCTTTTCAAGCATATTCCACAACGTTTCCACAGACTCAATATCTTTCTCTAATGTGTCAGTTCGTATTTTGTTTAACCAATTATTAAAAGTCTCCTCTGAAACAAACTTTGGCGGAACAAAAACAGTTTAGAAATTTGTTCGTAGTCTCGAACAAAGTACGAAAACACAAATGAATATTTGACAACAGAAAACGCCTCTTTGAGTACTTCAGCAGCAACTGACAGCTCCTTACAGGGCTTTCCCGTCGTCTTTTCTTTATTCGACTCAATCAATTTCATTTTTTCCTCCGCTTTATTAACTCCTCTCTCTAAATTGTTGTACTTGATATAAGAGTCAAAGTACTCCAAAAACCGCTTGTTCTCATTCTTCAATTCATCCGCTTTCATGTCCAGTTTCTTCGCTTCTGATTTGTCATACAAATTACACTTGTAAAACCCACCAGTCTGTGTACCATGCGTTTTCCAATCCCCTCGACACATCCAACACCACTCGCCTTTACATCTTGAACACGTCATATGGTTACACCCATCGACTCTCTCAGTATACAACCCACAATGGAAACACGGCTTTGATATCGTATTGACAAACTTCATACTCTCCGAGTCGTTTGAAACCAAGTCATTCCATTGCATAAACTGTTCGCACGATACAGGCTTGTGCATCTCTCTTCCGCATTGGAAACAAAAGCGTTGCCCACACTTACACACAATTTGCACTTCATGACGTGATGTGTCAAAGTAATGGATTGCTCTCCCACACGTGTCCACTGGACAGAAGACATAGCTCTTCCGGTGGCTAATGAAGTCTTTGCAAATAAAATACATAAAACGTTTGTATGTCTCCTCATTGCAGGCTTTCTTCACGAGAACGTAATTAATACGGCATGTGCACCCATGTTGCATGCACAAACTGTCAATAACGTTACTCCCAGATGTCTTCAGTAACGTTGAGATACGTTCGTTCCAGCAATTTGAACAGAAATAATGCCCACACCCCAAACTTAGCATTTTCCCTTCTTCATAACAAATAGAACACGATTCGTCTTTAGGTGGTGGAGGCGTTTCAATCACAACACCACTGTCTTTGCACACCTTTTCGATGTTATCAAAGTACTTACTCTCCAACTTGTCCCCGCTCCAATCGCTGTTTTTGAGTAACACACTCGCATTCCCTTCATCAATACACAAATTATCAGCTTCCCGTACACATAAATTTGTTATCATTTTGACAATGTCGTGACTTTCAATAACTTCATAACACTTTTCTGTTGATGGGTCACCTAATATCGCAGCTCTTCCGTTATCATACAAATCGTCGTCGAACACATCTTCGTGCCACTCGTCGTCGTCTTCATCATCGACTTTCGAGCTTCTTTTTCTTTTCTTTCCTTTGACCATGGGGAGGTCTGTGTCTTTCGTCTCTTTCCATTTCATTTGGTCTTCGATCCCGTCCAACTCGCTTTGAATCTCGGTGTCCTCCTTCTCGTCCTTCTCCTCTTTAACTTCTTTTGGAAGTTCTGGTCTTGGAAATGTCGCCAAGTTCTCGATGATCCAAGGAATGCACTCGTTAATGTCCCAGTTAAACTTCTTCAACGCAAATATAGAGATATAGTCGGGAAATCCCATTTCAGTCAGTGTGTTCATTTTCTCTTGTTGTTCCGGTTTGAGTGGCGGGACTCCGTTGACGCATCTACAAGGCGGTGTTTTCTTGACGCATCCCGAGCATAGTGCGTACCCACATCCTTGACATCTATACAAGTGGTGGAGTCCACTTATTTCCTTTCCGCAATTTTCACACTTTCCGTTGTCGCTGGTCTTCTTGTATCCCAACATCTTTTTTTCTCCTTTGACGTTTCGAGTTCTTTGTGATTTATTATTTGAAATCTGAAATAGGTGAAGTCTCACTAATTCTTAAACTAATTTGTCATTAGAAAGTAAATCAATAATCATCAACACAAATAGTTTTTTTATTCGAATAATAAAATACTATTATTGTGGTTTTTTATACTATATATTTAATTCTTTCGTCAAACCAATCTTCTCTTGTGTTGAAGAAAATGATTGAATTGTTGGAACAATAAAAGAACAGGAAATAAAAATCTCAGCTCATTCACTCATTCGAATTTATTATATAGATTAAATTTAGTAACTAAACTATTTTTATTAATTTCTTATAATTATATGACTTTCTTGTGTCAAACCAACACTGTATTATAAAATTAATTATAAAATAGTTCACGAGTGATACCAAACAATAAACTTGCAATCAAATTAGTCACTGTCTTCACTAGAACTCTCCGAAGACGAGCTTTCCATCTTTTTGCTTTTCTTCTTCCCCTTCTCGACGACGACTTCTTCTTCTTCGACGTAATGTTTCATTCCGACCTCTTCCATGACCTTTTTGATAGTGTCGATGTTAGTCTTAGGTACCTTTCCCGTCTTCAAGAAATCCATTCTTTCAGTGACTTGATCCTTCATCGCCTCACCAAATTTGTTAGTGTTGATATCCGAGAAGCAATCGATTCTTGCGCAAGTCGATGCCTTATTAGCGAGATATCTACTGATTCTTCCCTTGTTCTTAGGGTCTGCTTTTTGGATGAAACTAGCTCCAAAGATTACTCCATACTTAGGAGTGTTCGCACGAGTCTTAATTGCTCTGAAAAGGGCCTTCTCAGCACCAAGAATCTGTAAAGTACTTGCGGGGCATTTCGCCAGATTTGTGAGTGAACCTGCTTTAGTGAGTAAACGAGCTCCGACAGAGTCGCCAATCAATTCAGTCAAATTGGGAGCAATAGTGGTCATCTTCGAGTGAAGGTACTCTTGCAATTTGTCCTTGTATTCCTGCAATTCAGTGACTTTCTTCGCAAACGCGTTGACGTTCTGTAAATCAAATTCGTTCAAGTCAAAGCCCATGGACATATCCGCAGCGGTGCAGATCCGCTCAGACAAGTCTTCACCAGCAATTTCAACTAACTTCTTTTTCTTCTCCGCATCAAGACTGTGGCGGTTCTGGATCAACAAGACACATTTGACAAACATGGCGTTGTCATGTGAAAGGATGTTGTACAACTCTGGGAAGTGCCATGAATACCACTCTTTAATTCTCATAGTGAAGGTGTTCATATCCTTTTCAAGTTGATCCAACATGAAAATGGCTTGGACTGCCATCGTGTCTTGTTTGTTCACATTGAACTTCACTTTATTTCTCGAATACGAGTGCCCAAGACCCATCATAGCAGTGCGAATATCTCCGTCGTTAATGTCCTTCAAAAACTTCGGGAAGTGCGTTCTAATCCCTCTGATCACAAGTGCAATTTCTTTCCCTTTCAAGCATTCGATATCCAACGACTCTTTAATCGCTCCCGCCAACTTCTCGTCGAGCAACCCTAGTTTTTGCCCTTTCACATTTTGTTTCAAAAACAATTGGAGTGTTGGGTGGACGGCGCCTTCAGAAATGGCATTGATGTTCTCGAGTAATTCTTCGGCGGTCTTGAACTCGACAAAGGCAGAAAGAGTGACACTTTGCGAAAACGTTGGAAAGTCCAACGCTGACTTCTCAAACACATCAGTCTTAGCTACTTGCTCGAAATCTTTGATCCGAAACAGCGCATACCCAATCGGGCTTTCATACAACACCATGTCCGCCATAGCTTCTCTTACTTTTCAAAGTTTCATATTAGGGTTTTGCCCTATATCATTCAACTCCTGGTGGTGTACTATTTATTATTACTATTATAATTATTAATTTATAGAAATTTATTATAATAAATCACTTGTTTAATTATAGTTTCAACTCTTCAAACTTAATGATTTGAATCTTAGAGAAATACATGTGTTTGTGAGGATACAAATGCCTAAGGTTTTAAGTGAGAAAGAAGAAAAAAAAATCAAGAAGAATTAAACATCCAAATCGTCGAACATGTCGAGGTCGACGCCTTGCTCTTTAAGCTTGTTATCGATCTCTTCTTCGTTTTTAACGTCGGCGTCGGCTTGTTCTGCCATTCTAGGGTTATTCATGAAAAATTGTTTTCCTGTGATCCTCCCCTTCTTTCTGTTCACCTCTTCATCTTTCTCTTCTTTAATTCTTTTCATTGTGATTTTGCGCTCAGCCTCTTTGCCTTTCCACCACTGCTCGAACGTCTGTTTGGATGCGCCAATGAACTGTTTTTCAGCTTCGTCTTGCTCCGCTTTTTCTTTTCGAACAGCTTCTTCGTTGAGCCATGTTGTGTGCCCGTCCAATAGAGCAATGAGCATGTCTTTCATTTTGTCGACTAACTCGAATAAACATGAAAACTCCGTGTCGATGATATCTTGAAGGGTTTGCCGGATCTCGTCTGTACCTTTTTGAATATACGTTTCGTCGGATTTTAAAGTAAAAGAAGGAAGGGTTGTGGGGTAATCAGCAGGAAGTGTGAATGTGATGGTAAGGCTTCCGGTGACTATTTGGGAATTGTCCTCGACTTTTTCAGTTACTGTGCATTCCAATGTGCTGTCTGTGTATTTTACGGCATCGCCATATATCGCACTCAAAGTTTCAACTTCGGTATCGAGGTCCATATGCTTTTGTTGTTCTCTGTTTCATAAACTTCAAGTTTGTACGAGGCATTTGAAGACTTTTGATACATCCCTTGTATATCGATCCACTTATCTTAGTCATTTTAAGTCTGTTTCACGTGCATTTTTTGTTACTTTTTTATTATGTGGTGTCGCTGCAGTCCAAAATGATTTGCCAAGAAGAACAAAAGGAATAACCCTTCCATTTAACATAGATAAAACCTAAAAGACTTTCAAAAGCATAGACATGTCAACTAAAATAACAACTCTTCAACTCGCACTTGCTCTTCTCGACGGTAAGACCCCCGCTGCACTCTCGGAGTCTTACGATTTTTTCAATGGCGCAGTCACCCCACAATATTTTGTTTCTGCACTCCGTGGAGATTTCTCGGAACTTCAAAAAGCATACCCCGACCTCACCCTTCAAAATGCTGCGACTTTGGAAATCCCAGCCGATTTTCGATTATTAGTCGGTGTTGCTTTATTAAACGGATTTGTCCGAATGAATTTTGTTGGACCATTCAACTTACCGAAAGACGAGGAGTCTGAAAAGGAAATTCAATATTTGACAATCGACGCTGAACAGGTGAACGCCCATATTCAAAATTCGTTGTGGCTGCACACAGCTGCAAAGGTATTTGGTATGTTAAAGGACAAACAAGTTCCGCTCATATCGTGGTTCATTGGGAGACAAGCTACTATTCATCAACGTGTTTTGTTGAATCCGGGAGAGTCGTTATACACCAGAATTGGCCTGAGTTACAGAGAAACACTCAAGAATCTCGAAGAGATGAAAGAAGACTTGGGCAAAGTGTTTTACGAGCGTATTTCGTATAAAGCAAATATGGAATTGGCAGTAGGGTTGTGGGCTTCCGAGCAATACAAAAACGTCACTGAAGAGCTCAAGATCATTTGTGATCGATATAAAGTTTTTGTGGAGATGAGTGGTGCAATGGGGTCGAGGACCAAATACCAAGAGAAACAAACTGCACAACTCCTTTTGAAAGTGGATCGATTGCCACACCCCTTGAGCGAAATTAAGAGACAAAAATGTGAACAGTTGTTGAAGGAAACGGAGTTGGACTCTGACAGTGATATGTTATCATACGCAAGTTATAGTGGCGACACTGCATATACTCCGTTGGCGACATACGACGAGGCTTATGTGTTGTTGATGTGTATGAACAAATATAGAAAGCAGAGTCGTGGGGATTTGATTCTTGAAGAGGTCATCACATACTGCAACAGACTTCTTCGAGACAGAATCGACTTCTCGACATTCCTTATGACTGTTTTACTTAAGTCGCGATACGAGGCGACTGTTACACACTTTTTGTGGCGATCTGTGAACCAAGCTGACGAAATTGTCAAGATGCTCGAAAGTGGCGATGACAAGTTCTTGGCCGAAGAAAGACTCGAGAGTATTTACATGACATTGTTCCCTCACATTTTTGCTCTGAGAAAGGAAGTTGGCATGCGGATGTTGTTAATGGGTGATCCATCGGCTGCGATCAATTACTTTTCGTCACTTGACATGAAAAATGAAATCGTTGCCGCCTATTTATCTCTTAATGAGCGCGAAAAGGCGAAGAACTTGGCAAATGAAATGATGGAGAAGGGAGATAGAAACTCCGAGTTGCTCACATTGATGTTTGAATTGACACATGATACAAAATACCTCGAGGAGTGCTGGGTGAACTCCAACAAAACTTACCTCAACGCGCAACGTGTTTTGGGACAGTACTACTACAACAATAAAGACTGGGAAAAGGCAAAAGAGCACTTTGAACTTTCTCTGAAGATCAACCCACTTTACCAACGCATTTGGTATGCTCTTGGCATTACCTACATGCAGTTGAACAACCTCAAAGAAGCTAAAAACGCGTTTTTAAAATCCGTCAGTTTGGACAACGATGATGGACAAAGCTGGGCCAATTTGGCCTACGTCTACGTCACGTCAAATAACAAGAAAGAGGCACAAATAGCGCTCAAAGAAGCAGTCAGGAATATCAGAGACAACTACAACTTGTGGAACAACTTAATCACAATTTCTATTGATATCCAAGACTACCGACAAGCAATCAGTGCTGTTGTTGCGCTGTACGACATCAACCGTAGTGAAGTAAGTCCACGTGTGCTTTCAATGATGTGCGACGTCGTCCTTCAAGACATCCCAATGCACAACGGCGAGACTGGTCGCGCGATGTTAGGCTTCATGAAGCCAATTCTTAAACGAATTCTCAACGACTTCAAAACGACGGACAAACTCTACCTTGTCGCCAAGGAAGGCCTTTCACTTTTCGAACAAATCTAAACAACCTTTGATTGATTTTATATTAGAACTCGTTATCTTAATTTTGTGACAGAAGAACAACCGTTTAATACAAATCAGTTCAGTTGTTGTTGCTTTCTGAGAAGGTACCTCTGTTTTGCATCTAAAACTGTTTCCTTCGTATTTTTTGATTTCATCAAATTTTGCAGTTGAATTTCTTCCCTCTTCTGTTCGACCGTTTTGGCGATTTCAATCTCGCCTCTTTGTTTTTCAATTTCGGCAATCATCTTTTCCGACTTCAATTTTTCCTCTTTTTTCTGTTTTTCGATTTTTGCTCTTTTCTTTTGTTCTTCAAACTTTCTCTCTTCTCGTTCCGTCGCCAAAAAGTCCCCCATCATCGTGTTATTTCCAAACATGACGTCACTATAAAATTTTGCCATGTCTGTTTCTTCTTCTTTTCCTTTTTTTTCTTTTTCCTTCATCAGTTGGTATGATTTGGTCTCAAATTTTTGAAACTTTTTTCCTGTGAGTTTTTCTTCCTCGTCATTAAGCCTTGCGTTTCGCTTGTTTTTCGTTTCCTCAAGAAATTGCCGACGAATCTGAGCGTTCTCGAGCATTCGATTTGCCAATCTTGGTTTCGTCTCCTCTCTCATTTTCTTTTCTTTCTCTAATTCCCCATCAAAGTCAAAATCTGCAATCTCGTCCACCCCAACAGGTTTTTTACTTTTCATTTTATTTTTTCTGTGTTTCTAGTTTTTATTTTTTTGTGAATTGAACTTAAAATTGGGAATTTTAGATTTATGGAAAATAAGCAAAACACCACATGGCTCGACCATTTCAACAAACTCCCATTAACTCCTTTCGAGAAGTATGGTGGATTTTTGCTTTACTTTTATGTTGTTCTCCAGTGTGGATTTGGTTTGTGATTATTTTTTATATATTGTGGTATTTTTAATTATCTGTTATTAGTTATATACCATAGTTATAGTACATTAAAATAGCAAACTATATTCATAATACATTTTACCAATAAATATACACTGATGAATAGCCACATACCACCTAACTGACAAGGTGATCTTCCCATCTTTCAATCGTTTATCTCTCTTTGTAGAGCACGTTTTTAAGACGCGCTTTTTCACTCCATTTTTCATTCAACTTGCTTCGAGTCTTCCCGAAGTGTGTGTCGGCATTTTAGGACTTTTATTTATGAACTACTATTCAACATCAAGTGGGTTAATCATAGGGAGTGCGTTTTTAAGTGTTGTTGTCTTAACTGGACTTCCCACACTTTTATCGCACGACAATATCATAATATCTAAAGTGACATTTGTGAGAGAGGCACTTATTCTTCTTCTTGCAATATTGTTTTATTACATCTTTGCGAAGTCGTTGCCGAGTGTTGATGATGTTTGATGTTATTTTCCTATTTCATTATAGTACCTTAATAATATATATATAGTTAACACTTCGATCTCTTTATACTTACTTTATTATAATTATATTATTATTGATTATAGTATATATAGAATTACTATAACTAATAGATCAAATTTGGTAAAGCGTTGTTAATATTAAGTTTGGTGGTCTATGTGTTCTATCTACTTGCCGTATTTATCACAACAAAATACTCACGAGAACTCATCACACAAGAATTTGTCGATAACAAAACACCGTTAAATCTCTCAGAGCCGGAAGTGAATAAAGAGGGCATTGAGAAGATACGAAGTGGAATGCAATACATCCGATCACCGGACTATAGCGAAGTTGCGTATTCCACGTCACAGTGGACGGAGCATTGGGTTGATTTATATCAGGACGAAATATTGATCAGGAAAGACCGATCCCCACAGTCCCGACCATTAGTAACTGTTGACACTTCTGAAATAGTAAGTATCATGTGTGATACATTAGACGATACATTATTTGACATTTACACTTCGGATCATCAATGTTATGGATTTCGGAGTAAACAACGGCAGGAGTGGATACGGAATTTAAACTTAGTGACTGAAGATATAACTCTAAGACCGAATGAAGTCGATTGGAAAGAAATGATCGAGTGGAAGCCACTGACAGGGAAATTGTATCAAGGGGTATCCCTCTTTATCTTTTGGCCGGGTATTCTCTTATGTAAATTAACGGTCCCATTCGACTTGTTTTATGGGAGTGCAGTTGTGAGTACTTTCATATCTATTCTTTACTTCTATATCTTTGGGTTTGTCGAGGTCTTAATATGTTTGCGACTGGAAAAAGTGTTTGGGATCAGTGCGGATATCCTTGGTGTTAGTCTCATTTGTGTCATAGGAATAGGGCTGAGACATTTTGCTGTTGGCTGGAATGCGGGGCGAAAAGATTGTGGGAACTTGTCCGTCCTTCAAGGATATTCGCAAGCCATTTTCTTCATGCTTGTAACACTGAGTGTGCCTTGGACTATTTTTGTGTTTGTGTTCAAACCCGTATTTGTCATCTCTTCGACCTTTTCAGGTTATGTCCTTGAATTTTTCCTCGGTGGATTATTCATTTTAATATTAGTACATCTTGTGTTGGCAATTAGAAGTACACAAGTCTCGATTGGAAAGTGGTTTGGTGGTGTTCTTCTATGTGTCTTCTTAATTCTTTTTATCTTAGTAATGATACCACCTTTCAAATTGGGAATGTGATGTATGATTTTGTTATTAAAATGTTTTTCCTTTTTGTTTTTTTTATTTCCATTTTTTAAATAACAATTAATTAGTTATTAATTATTATGAATATTAAGATTTGACTTGTTTTCTTTTTTTTTCTACTCAAAATAGTTTTTTTGAATAATTAAATTAATGGATTAAAATAAATTCAAAGTCCATATAATCAAATAATCTAAAGTAAGATTTTTTTATTAAAAAAATTAAACTATACTTATTAAAAATACAATAATAATAAAAGTATACTTTAGTTTGTTTGAAACTTTTGAAACATGAAAAAATGGAGTTTTCGCTTGGGTAATTGGGTTATAGTAAAAGAGTTAAATAAAATAGTAAACTTCTGAAATCCAAATTCCTTAATGAATGAAACTATTTTCTTCTTGAAAGAACTGAAAAACAAAGAAACGACAAAGGATGAGTAATATTGCACCGAACAACCTTTCACAGTTCATGATGGACCTCTTTCCAGACCAGAAAGAGTGTGAGCAAGTCCTCATGGAAGTGACCAGTGACGAGTTTTCAGCGAAGTGTGTGGAGGATCTGAAATTTATCGATTGGAAGTGTATTGTAGGGAAGTTGACTGTGAAGCAGCGTGGGATCATTGCGGCCAAAATTAAAGAAATTGCAAAAGAACAAAAGCAACAGACAGAGGTGTTTAAGATGACGGGTAACATCATTAAAATGAATTTGTTTAAACCGCCAAAGTACGGCTATCAAATGGACTATCGAATATGGTCTGTCGAACAAACAACTGATTTTATGTTAAAAAATGGCATCTCAAAGACAGCTGCGACTGCTTTAAAAGATTTGGATGGGAACAAATTAGTCAACTTCGATGAGAAGAAATTGGGATGGTTTGAAGGGTTTAAGATTAAAGGGGAAGTCCTTGATAAAGTACGAGCGTGTGGACTTCTCGCACAAAAGGAACTTGCATCAACCATGATAGTAAGAGCGGCTCGTCAATATGAATTTCGGAAGATGAATAAACTGTATGCCTATCGTACGAACGTAGCTCAGGAGTTATTGTCCACCGAGGAGTGTGTTTCTCTTTAGTAATAATATTATAATATAATTATTATAATATCAATAGTATTAATAATAGTACTGATAATAGATTTATTACTATAAAATATATTAATAAAAAGGAGTTATGTCCAACAACTGAAGTTGCTTGTTGAAGAGTTTGTCAAACCGATTACTCGAGACCAAATTATCCCAGCGGAGACTTCGCGAAAGATATTTAGTGACATAGAAATGATCTTATCTGTCAACACCAAGTTTCTTGAGTCATTTCAGAAAGTAATTAAAGTGTGGAATAGCGAATCGAGTATTGGAGGACTGTTTGTGAAGATGGCGCCATTCTTAAAAATCTATGGCGAGTATTGTAAGAACTATCCAGAAGCTTTGAAGGAGTTGGCAAGCTTGGGGAAGGAACATAAGTTCTATGAAGAGTACCATCGAGTAATGGAAGAGAAGGCGCCGGAAGAGTACAAGAACTTTGAGTTGACGTCATTTTTGATCACGCCCATTCAACGTATTCCTCGATACAAATTGCTCTTAAATGATCTATTGAAACACACACCACATAACCATATCGACTACAAAGATTTGTCTGATGGGTTTAATTTGATCTCACAAGTTGCGATCAGTGTGAACGACTTTAGTAAGCAAGCTGAGCATATGGAACAAGTGAATGACTTGTCTTCGCGGATTACAGAGTTACCAAGTGAAGTCAATTTCCAAGAACCTGGGAGAATCTATCAGAAGGATGGCATCTTATTAGTGTGTTTTAAAAAGAAGTATGTACCATGCCACTGCATCTTGTTCTCTGACATTTGTGTCTTTGCTGAATATTCACAAAGTCTGCTGTCGAAGACATTGAGTAAGAAATTTGTGTATAAGACGCACGTTGTTGTGAATTTACTCAAAGTTGAGACGGAGATGACTGAAGTTCCTAAGAGTAAGGAGATAGCTGGGGACTGTATCTTCTCTGTCATCTCTGGGAAGAATGTGTTCTACATCGGGACAAAAACAACAAAAGAGAAGGATGAATGGGTCAAAGTATTTAACACAACAATAGAAAAGGCCATCGAAAGGAAAAAAATGTTTGAAGACAAAGCTCTTGAAGCATCGAAACAGAAAGCTGAAGTCGCGAAAAACATGTTGGATGTGAAGTATCAATCCCTCAAATTTAATCAAACAAGAAAATGGTCTGAAAGAGGAAAGAGTGTTGCGAAGATGTCTTGTGTCGAGAAGTGGAGAATAGCACAAGAGGCAAAACAGAGTATGGAAGAGACAGCAGACTTGGCCGGACGCGAGAGAAGAAATTCGTATATGGACTTGATGAGCTCAACACCAGTGAAAGGAGAATCGACTGATAAACCTATCATCGATGGGTTAGTTCGAACTTCTACACCTGTTCTCAGCCCAACACCAATGTCTCCGAAGCCAAAATAATAGTGTGTCAATGTGTTAAACCAGTTTTGATGTTGTCTAGTAAATTATAATAATATATTAGTAGTATTATTATAATAAGATAGTTTTAGTATATTATACTATATAAATACTTTAATTTTTGATAAAGAATAATTAGTTGAAAAAATAAAAAAAGAATTTAAATATACAAAAAATAGGAATTGAATCTATACAATTAACCATTTCAATGACATAGTAATAATATTATTAATAAGAATATTATTAATAAAAATAATAAAAATGAACTAATGGCAAAAAATCATACACAAGGATATCTGGGAAACATTGTTCAAATGTATTTTTAATATGGGAAATTTTTTCTTAAAAAGAATAGTAAAAAACCAATTAATTATGATAAAAAAAAACGTGTAATTCCATTACAAATACGGATTCAAAGATAAACAAAAGTGTGTTGATTCTCATATTTATTACATTCTAACATAAAGAAAGAATATGGCAATATTAAAACTGTAAACTTAAACTGGTAATTAATAAAGAACGAATGAAGAATTTTAAAGATGGAGCACCCACTCTCCACCCAGAAGATATTTTATATGACGAAAAAGATGTCATTAACGATGGACCGTTTGGTAAAGTCTATAAAGGCCTTTCTAATGGTCTTCCAGTAGCTATTAAAAGAGCACACAAACAAGAACTTACTCCCGAAGAGCGCGCGAACTGTTTGAAAGAAATTGCATTAATGAAAAAGGTATTTCACCCAAATATAGTTCTCTTCATGGGCGCTTGTGAACAAACCAATAATGTGATGTTAGTCACTGAACTCCTCTCATGCAATTTAGCACAACTCTTATATACACCGGAACAAATTCCAGAGTCTATGAGAGTCACATTAACCCCAGACATCAAATTGAGGATGTGCGTCGAAATGGCACTTGGCATCTCTTGGTTGAACAATGTAGTTGGTGTAGTAGATGTTAACGTGGACATCCATAACTTCCTCGTTGATTCACATTTGACTATCAAAGTGGATGCCTTTGCATTCGCTTCATTCTTGCCAGAAGCAAACTCGTTGGTATCTAAGAGTCTTCCTGTATATGTCTCCAATGACGAATATGACGCTAAGAAACCCACCTTTGCGTCTAATGTATATGCACTTGCTTTGATATTTTGGCAGACTTTCAGTCAGAAGCCCCTCTTTGAAGAATACAAAACAAAAGGAATTGAAGCATTTATCACAGACGTTGTTAAAGGTGGTGTACGTCCACAAGTCAAACCTTATGTCCCAGAGTCTATCGTCCCATTGATAGAGTCAATGTGGAGTCAAGATCCCGAAAAAAGACCAGGGAGTAGTGTTGTAGTAAAGACACTTCAAAACGCCGTGTTAGTCAATGCGTTGAGTGACCACGATGCTCTCGAATGGTGGGAGAGCAAATTCAACAACGAGAAGACGGGTGGTATTCGTCTTGAAATGGACAAGCCCCTCTTCTTTAATACTATTGCCAAAGATCTCGCTATTAAAATTCCTAAGGAAGATCCCATCTACAAAATATTTGAAGAAACTAATGTGACTCCAACTTCTTTTCAAAAAAGTATTAAATTCTTCGGAAAGTATTACAACTCACAATTCGTTACAAAGGAATTACTCGACTTGTTCCATCAAGACTATTTCACTTTTGAATCAAGTCGAGAAGTCGTTGAGAGTTGGTTAGATAATCGAACTGATGGCTACTTTGTTGTCAGAACATCAACAAGAAGTCCGGACGCTCCGTTTGTCATTTCCTACAACTTTAAAGGGGCTTACAAACACAACAGAGTCGTCAGAATGTCATTCGAAGAGACTGATGTGAGGTACAAGACTGTTAACATTCTTACACAAAAGGAAATATTTGCTACAACAGTCGTAGAGTTGGTCGATAAATGCATTAAAGAAGGTCTTGTCAAGGTAGCTTGCCCTTTTGAAAAGTGCAAACAGAACAAATACGACGACTAATTCACTCTTTTCTAATTTAAATATTTAATACTTTTATATTATTATATTATTATATTATTATATAATAGTAGTATATTAGATCTATTATAATTTATCATACTATAAATATACTATACCAAAGTTAATCAATTACTTCGAGAGGTTGGACTCGATCTCCTTTTTAACTGCTTTCGATCGTTCGTCGAGATTCATCAACGTCGAAAGAACTTTAAGAGCAACGCCTTTAGTTACCAACGGAATTAAAATTGTTGACTTCTCAAGAGTAATTTGTTCTCTTCCTTCATATACTCCATCCTCCGAGTTACACGCAATGACTATTGAAGCGTGGTATACCTTTTCTAGAAGGTCTTTTCCAAACAAGACTTCAGTGTCCTTAGTAATTTCCGAAAGGTTGTTCTGCATTTGGTGAAGGTCAAAAGATTTGTCTCCAACGACAGTCTCGAGAAAAACAGTGAAGACAAATAAGTGACTTCTGATCTTCCCGACGACATTGAATGATTCCATCTCAATTTCTTTAATCATTTCAATAATAACGCTCATCGCAATAAACCCATTACAATAGATTTTCCCCAATACCGCACCAAACAAGGCCAACCCATCTTTTTCATTCATCATATATTTCTTCATGGTGCTCAACACATTCTTCCACTTATTTCCAATTCCTTTGATGAAATCACCAGAGCAAATGACACTCTCTAAGTCTTTGTTGTATGTTTCGTCCATTGTGTTCATCGCCTCTTCTATCCCTTTCCCAACTTCTTCTTCACTCAACTGAATGACATATTTACATAACTCGGCGGCATTGCATTTACCAGATACAAACTTTTCAACACACAGTTTGCCAGTCTTTGGTTGAGCAGACTTTGGCGGTTTCACTTTAGTCTCCTTTTTATCTTGTTTATCCTTTTGAAGCTCCGCGGCCTTCATCGCAGTTTTGAGTTGCGAGACACTCTCCTCCAGCCACACCTTCTCCATGAAAGTGATAGTCGGAACTTTCATCATATTCTCAGTCATTGTAATAACCCCCTTCAAGTCCACCTGTTTCGACAATTTGGTGCACGTCTCCTTTACCAACGTTTTGTACGCCTTCAGTGGCAATTTCCCGCCAATTGAGCTCAGTGTGTTCAAACATTGTAACACAAGTGTAGGAAGTACTCTGCCTTCTATGTACAAGTAACTGACTAAATAGACTGTTCCGACATACTCCACTTCGTCTATAGCATTCAACTCTTCTCGTTGAACTTGGTCCATTGCCGTTTCGCCTTCAACTGGTTTTCGTGGCACTGGCGGATGTTTGAATTGGGCTTCCGCGAGGTTAAGAAGGGAGATGATCATGACCTCAGAGATCTCCTTTTTGTTCTCCATAGTTTCCATCAATTGAGTGATTCGGATGAAGAACTTGACATACAAGTGGACATACTTTTGTTCATTGATCGACTTCTTGAAAAGAATTTGAAGCATCATTGCACTATCTTCCTTCGTTCGAATTTGGAAGACCATGTCATTCGCTATTTTCTCCAATTTTTCTTTTGTCAATTGGTTGAATGATAACTTGTAAAACGCAGTTGTTTTGTCGACTTGTATTTTCTTCTCCTCTTTCTTCACTTCACTCTTCACAAACCGTTGGAAGATTTCATAAACCGAGTCTCGTGCTCTTTCTTGTTTTCCTCTCAGACTTTTCATTTCATTGATGGAGTACTTCTTCTCAACTATTTTTGGAAGAGTAGAAATAGAGCGGTTAGGTGCGACATATTCATCGCTCGAGTTCTTTTTAATTGGAAGTTTTTCACTTTGCACTTGAGCCAAAGGTTTTTCGTCGTGTTCGTCACTTTTGGGGAGTTTTGGCGGTTCATATTTTTCAAAGACTTTTTCTATTACTGTTGGTTGTGGAATTTCAGTAGAAGATTTTTGCAGTGCATTGGCCTTTTGCTTAATCTCAAGTTCTTTTGCCAATTTTTCTTTTTCTTCTTGTTCTTCCTTTTCTTTTTGTGCCTTTTGTGCTTCGATAATTGCTAAAGCCTCTTGTTCTTCCTTTTCTTTTAATTCTTGTAATTTTTGTAATTCCTTTTCTTTTCGTTCTTTCTCTTCTTGTCGTTTTCTCCTTTCCTTTGCTTTTTGTTTCTTTTCATTCTCAACTTTTTCGTTGATTTTTCTTTTCTTCCCGCCCACTTCAACTTGAGTCCACTCGTCTTCTTCTTGGTGTTGTTCTTCTTCTATTTTTTCTTCAAGTTTTTCTTCAACTTTCTCTACAACTTTCTCTTCCTTTTGAGGAATCTTTTCTTCGGGTTTTGTTTGGGTTTCTATGACTTCTTCTTCTACCTTTTCTTTCTCGTGTTCAACTTCCTGTTGTTTTTTCCTTTTTGGCACATAGGGTTTACTATTCATTTTGAAGGTGTCCATCTCGCAACCACCATTTTCCGTCTTCTCCTTTTCAACAGTCTTCTTCTTTGGTACAAAAATATGTGCATTAGTTTTAAGTGTGGATGGGTTGATGACGAACTTCTCATGTGGGATACTTGCCGACTTCACTTCTGGAACAAAGTCCACCATGTCACTTTTCGACGGAGTCGCAGACGGGGTAATGAAGTGACCATTCACGTCCAAACCCTCGTTTTGTGGTAAGGAGGGTTCAACTGGGCCCACTTTTAGGGCTTTTGGTTGGTTAATTTTTTTGCTCTGGTGTGGTTTTTGTGGGATAAATATTTGTGCGTCTGTATTATATTGTGAGGTCTTCTTTGTTGGGCGGGCAACTGGTGTCGATTTAGTTCGGTCTGGGATGAAGCTCATCTGCCTTCGAGTATACGTTTTCTTGTTTCTTGTTGATTTTTTCAAATCAGTTACTTGAAAACTTCATTGGTTCCAATTTACCATTAATTACAATATATGATATTATAATTATAGTTATTTATTGAGAATATTAAACTTTAATTAGTATTATACTATTAATTCATATTTCTCGTTTAGTAATTGATTAACAAAATGATAGTTTCAAATTATTTCAATTATCAATCATTCTGTAATTAGAAATAACCAAAAAAGAACTATTATTTTAAACCAAATAAAAAACGATGGAAGTTTATCACAAATACATTTTTACTAAAATATTAATTAAATTGTGAGCTAATTAGTAATAAATACTTTTAATTTTTACTAATAGTTATCAGTCAAATAAAAACAGTTCTACAAATTACTAGTATTATTTAGTAAAAATTTCCTATAAAAGTGGTAACAGTACAAACAACTCAATTCACTAAGAATTCAAAATTAAAAAGACAAAGCATGGAAATTACTTCTTCGACTTCTTTGGAGTTTTCGTTTCCTTTTTCTCCTTTTTAGTTTCTTTCTTTGGAGTTTTTGCTTCCTTCTCTTCTTTCTTAGCAGGTTTCTTCTCATCCTTCTTTGGTGTTTTCGCCTCTTTCTTGGTTTCCTTCTTAGTAGTTTTCTTTGGTTTCTCTTCCTTTTCCTCTTTTTTCGACTTAGTTTCCTTTTTCGCTGATTTCTTTGGTTTCTCCTCTTTCTCTTCTTTTTTGCCCTTCTTTGCTGTTTTCTTTGGCTTCTTTTCTTCCTCCTCTTCACTCTCTTCCACGTGAGCAACATCTTCCGTAGCGGTCACAACGGGTTTTGTGTTGCCAGGCTTCTGCATGAATTTGACGATCTCTTGTGCGTACTTCTCTTTAGTCTTTTCCTTCGAAGCACCCGCAAGGCAAAGAACTCTGCAGACTTCGATAAGATCTGCGTATGAAAGCTTAGCCAAAGACGCTTCTTTCTTCTCAACAAGTTCTTTAGTCTCAGTCGCGTTCTCACCTTTAATTCCCGAGAAATCCATAATATCAGTACGACGAGTGGCTTCAGATCCAATTGATCCATAAAGGACTTTGTGTATGAGTATGGCCTTTTCGGATCCTTTGTGGATCGATTTCATTGTCGCCTTGATCTCCTCTATTTCGCTCAATTCTTCCCATCGCC